GTGGTTTGGGCTTTGCTTCTGTGAAGACTGACAGCCTGGGAGACCCTGTGGGGCAGTTCCACTCTGTCCTCTAGGGGCGCTGTGAGTCAGAATGGACTCCATGGTAGTGGGTGTGGTTTGGGCTTTGCTTCCATGAAGATGACAGCCTGGGAGACCCTGTGGGGCAGGTCAACTCTGTTCTACTGGACAGAGGTGCTATGAGTTGGATTCTACTTGCTGGTAGTGAGTAGTCAGGCAAGAAAACAAGAAGGTCCAAGCTACAATTATGGAGCACACCAGAGTAACCTCACCCCACAGCTAACCCTAGGCAAGCCTCCTTCCAGGTCACCCACTTCTTGGGAAGAAAGCAGGGCTAGGAGAAGAAGCCCTGATGGTGCAACAGTTAAGTGCTCTGCTGCTAATGGAAAGGCCAGAGGTTCAAACCCACCCAGCAGCTCTGAGGAAGAAAGGCCTAGAGATCTGCTCCCACAAAGACTACAGCCCAGAAAACTCTATGGGGCAGGTCTACACTGTCACATTGGACTATGAGACGGACTCGACCCCACAGAACCCACAACTATCGGGGGGAAGATGTGGGATGTGCCTAAAGGACAAACATCAAACCCATTATCATCGAGTCAATTTCAACTCATAATGATCTCTGGTGGCGTAGTGCCTAAGGCATCTGACTGCTAACCAGAAAGCTGGAGGTTCAAACCCACCAGCCACTTCTCGGAAGGAAGACTGGGCAATCTACTTATGTAGTGATACCGCCTCGGAAACCCAAGGAGGGCTCACTACAGGTGGAATTGACTTGACGGCCCTGCGGGACAGAGTAGAACTTCCCCACAGGGTTTCCAAGGCCTAATGTCACGGAATTAATTTTCACAGGAGCAGACTGCCACATCTGACTCCTGTGGGGCAGCTGGTGGGTTCGAACCTTTGATTTCGGGTTAACAGGTGACCACTTAATCACTGCGCCACCAGGGCACCCTTTGCTTAAAGGACAAGGCCACCACATTTCCACTGCCTTTGGCAGCAGACAGAGATGGCTGTTGATGGCTGACAGAAACGAGAGGCTGAGGAGAAGACAAGGTGGACGGAAGAACTCACCTCCTGCAGGCGGTCTATGTACATGCGGCACGTCTCCAAGTCACAGTCTCCACGGACGACAAGAATGCCCAGAGGGATGGCTGAGGGCAGAGGAGAAGGAGACTCTCAGATAATGCCGGTACCTCCGGATCAGCACAGCCGACTTCTCAGGAGTAAACAGTCATGAACAGCACGGGGGCTTTGGCTGCCTCCTCTCATCGAATTAGCACCTCCCTCCCCGGCCATGACCGTTTCAGCCTCTTCAGGGCGGCCGCATGCTGGCCACCTGGCCTGCCTTTCGTTCTACCTCAGTGACTCTCATAAG